GTGATGGACGATGATGTAGCTTCAGTGAAGTCTTACATAGAACTTCTCAGACAAGCAAACATCTCTAGAGGTCACATAGAGGAACATGACATTATAATGCACATGCCATCACTGTTGGGACACTTTCTGTGCACATTAGTCTGAAAGTTCTCAGTAGCACATCTGTGTGTCACTCTCCCTCCCATGGTCATGAAGTCTTCTCAGGCTGATCCATCAACACACTGTTGCTCATTTCTCCAGCTACCCACTTTATTGAGTAGCCATTTCTGTGGCCTCTGCCCTGTGCAAAACAACATGCCCCACCAGAAGAAGAAAAGATGGTCCAGAATCATCCTCCGCATTCGGTATTTCACTTCACTCTAAAGGTTCCCACCCTTCCTAATGCCGAGGCCCTTTAATATAGCTCCTCATGTTGTGGTGACCCCTTACACCCTATGCAATGATTTCATTGCTACTTCGTTACTGTAGATTATCCTGAGTGCTGGGACTAAAGGCATGTGCCACCATGGCCCAGCTAATCTTTTCAGATGTGGTTGGGATCTAAATAATTAAGGTTAGCTGGGTTGAAGCATAAATTTTGATCACTTATTTAATGATCACTTATACAAGGTCATATATGCAATATATATATATATGTGTGTGTGTGTATATATATATCTGGAGACCAGGCTGGCCTCGAACTCACAGAGCCGCCTGCCTCTGCCTCCCGAGTGCTGGGATTAAAGGCGAGTGGTGGTGCACACCTTTAATCCTAGCACTTGGGAGGCAGAGGCAGGAGTATCTCTGTGACTCTCCAGAGTTCCAGGACAGCTAGGACTGTTACACAGAGAAACCCTGTCTTGAAAATAAAAAAAAAAGGATTTATTTTAAATACTTTTAATTATGTGTGTCTGTGTCTGTGTCTTTGTCTGTGTCTGTGTCTGCGTCTGTGTCTGTGTGTAGGTGTCCATAGAGGCCAGAGGCATTGAATCTCCCTGGAGCAGGAGTTACAGGTGATTTTGAGCCACTTGATGTAGTTGCTGGCAACTGAACCCACATCCTCAGGAAGAACACTGAAACATCTTCCCAGGTTCTTCATTTTTTTAAATTAAATTTATTATTATGTGTTAATGCACAGGACGTGTGTGTGTGTGTGTGTGTGTGTGTGTGTGTGTGTGTGTGTGTGTGTGTGTGTGTACATGTGACACATGTATAGAGGTCAGAGAACAACTTTGTGGAGTATGTTCTCTCCTACCTTTCCATGGGTTCTAGGTAAGTGCCTTTACCCACTGAGTCATCTCACCAGCTCTGACATTCTTTTAAAGATCACATATCATAAAGCAATTCTCAAAGCATGGTGTGGATTATACTACTGTAATTTCAGCACTTGGGAGCTGGAGGCAAGGGGATTTCCATGAGTATTTGGCTTAGGTTACATAGTGAAACCACGTCTCAAATATAAAACAAAACAAAGTCAACCCCCTCAAAATAAATAAAACAAAAAAACAATTTTCAATACATTTAAAAGTTTAGGTCACACAAAGCATGTTTTCTGACCACATGATATTGAATTGGTGGACAGTATAGAAAAATCTCTGGAAAGCCACCAAATATTTGTAAGCCAAATAATACAACCACAAATAATCCATGAATAAAAGAAGAGATTAAAAAAAAAGAGCTTCTAGCGTAGATGCAGTTAAAATCACACAGGTTAGATGATATCTTAGTTAGAGTTTCTTTTTCTTTCTTCCTTTCTTTCTTTTTTTTAAGATTTATTTATTGATTATGTATGCCTACAAGTAACCCCTGCAAGTCAGAAAAGGGCACCAGATCTCCTTTAGAGGCGGGTTGCTAGGAATTGAACTCAGGACCTTTGGAAGAACCGCCAGTGCTCTTAAACCTCTGAGCCATCTCTCCTGCTCATTCATTAGGGTTTCTATTGCTGTGAAGAGACACCATGATCACAGCAACTCTTATAAAGGAAAACATTTCATTGGGGTGGCTCACTTGCATTTCAGAGGTTCAGTCCAATGTCATCATGGTAGGGAGCATGATCGCATGAGGCAGACATGGTGCTAGCTACATCTTGATCAGAAGGCAATAGGAAGTGGACTCCCAGACACTGGGTAGTATCCTGAGCATAGGAAATCTCAAAGCCTGCCCCCACAGTGACCCACTTCCTCCAACAAGGTTATACCTACTCCAACGAAGCCACACCTCCTAATGAGCTTATAGGGGCCAATTACATTCAAACTATCACATTCCACTCCCTGGCCCCTATAAGCTTTTAACAATATCAATGTGAAATGCATTTAGTCCGACTTCAAAAGTCCCCATTGTCTCTTACAGTCTCAGCAATGTTTAAAAGTCCAACGTTCAAAGTGTCTTCTGAGACTCATGCAATCTCTTAACTGTAATTCCCTATAAAATTAAAGTAAAAAAACAGATCACATACTTCCAACATATAATGGCACAGGACACACATTACCATTCCAAAACTCAGGGAAGGGAGCATACTGGACCAAAAGAAGAAATACTGGACCAAAAGAAGACCAAAAACCAGATGGGCAAACTCCAAACTCTGCATCTTCATGTCTAATGTCAAATGCTCTCCACAGTTACAACTCCATTCAGCTTTGTTGACTGCAGCACACTTCTTTTTCTTGGCCTGGTTCCACTTAGCAGCTCTCGTTGGCAGGTATCCCACAACTCTGGCATCTCTAACATCTTGGGGTCTCCAAGACAATCTAGGCTTCAACTTCACAGCTTCATGTAATGGCCTCTCTAGACCTCTGTTTAGGGACACCCCTGACACATACCTGGCCTCAGTGGCTTTCCTTAGTCTTAGGGCCAAATTCTATGGTCTCTTTCTTCTACTATTAACTCCAGAACTGCGTGGCTGAAGTTGCCAAGTTCTGCTGCTTGCTGGGGCTGGAAAATGACCCTCTTGTTCAATTACATCTTCACCAGCTTTCTGTTCTTCACTGCCTAAGCTTGGCTGTCCGGAAACTGGATCCCTAGACCAGGCCTCAAACTCAGAGATCCACCAACCTCTGCCTTTTGAGTGCTGGGATTAAAGGTGTGCATCACCACATCCAGCTCTAAACTTTTCTTTAATTCCTTTTCACAAGTTGGAAACTTATCTGGGTGGGATCTTGCCCTGAGGTCACCACTCTTTTCATTCCATTTCTTAGTCCATTTATCTCCTTGAACACAGGATTTAGCTTCATTCTACTTCCTGGTGTTCTTTTTCTCCTCAAAACTTACATTTTGTAATTTACCCTGCTCAACTTGCTCCTTTTCTTCTTCTTTTTTTTTTTTTCCTTTCTAAGATTTATTTATCATGTATACAGTGTTCTGTCTGCATGCCAGAAGAGGACACCAGATCTCATTATAGATGGTTGTAAGCCACCATGCAGCTGCTGGGAGTTAAACTCAGGACCTCTGAAAGAGCAGCCAGTGTTCTTAACCTCTGAGCCATCTCTCCAGCCCCAATTCAATCCTTTCCATTATAAATCTTCATTAGTGTTACCACTAATATCCTTCCCCAAAATATCACGTGTTCTTCTTCAAAATATCACAACAATCTCTAGGCAACATACTAAAGTTCTTCTCCTCTGAAACCTCTTCAGCCAGCCTACCACAGTTCATCAAATAACACTTAGCACCTTTGTCTTCCGTGCTCCTACTAGTATGGCCCATTAAGCAGTGCTTAAAGCATCCCACTGCTTTCATAACTCAAAGTACCAAAACCCAAATTCCTCCAAACAAAAACATGGTCACTCTGTGAGTTCAAGGCTAACCTGGTCTACAGAGCTAGTTCCAGGACAGCTCTCAAAACACAAAAACAAAAAAACCCACAAACAAAAACAAAAACACAAAACAACAATGGTGAGGTCTATCACAGCAGTACCCCAGTCCCTGGTACCAATTTCTGTCTTAGTTAGGGTTCCTATTGCTGTGAAGAGACACCATTTCCAAGGGCAACTCTTAAGAAGGAAAACATTCCAGTAGTATGGTTCAGTGCTTGTGGAGAGTGAAGAGTGATGAGCAAAAGAACCAAGACGGTGTTGCAGAAACCCCCAGAAACAGTTGACCTGGCCTAGTGATAGCATGGAGATCCTGGTCATAAAGCTGGGGAAACAGCATTGGACCAAACCAAGCCCTCTGAATGTGGGTGCCAGCCAGGAGGCCAAGACAGTATATGGCACCTCTAACAGTGGATCCAGTCTTTATCCCTAGAGCACAAATGGACTTTGGGGCACTATTCTCTATGGAGGGATACTATTGAAGCCCAGATACAGGAAGGAGGGCATAGGCTCTCCCCCAAATGATATGACGGACTTTGAAGGTCTCCCGTGGAGGGCCTCACTATTCCTGGGGATGAGTTGGGGGTAGGTTGCGGGGGGGTTGGTGGGGAACATGGGAGGATGGGAGGGAGAGGGAATGGGAGGATGGATAAGTAAATATTAGTAATTAAAGAATAAAAAAATAAATAAATAAAAGGAAAACATTACCTTGGGGTGGCTCACTTGCAGTTCAGAAATTCAGTCCAATATTATCATGGTGGGGAGCCTGGCAGCGTGCAGACAGACATGGGTGCTGGCTACATCTTGATCACAAGGCAACAGGAAGTGGACTCCCAGACACTTGGTAGTATCCTGAGCACAGAAAACCTCAAAGCCTGCCCCCACAGTGACATAGTTCTTAACAAGGTCATACCTACTCCAACAAAGCCACACTTCCTAATAGTGCCACTCCCTATGACCTTAGGGGGGCCAATTACATTCAAACTACCACAGATGAGAAGAACAAATTGCCTGAATGAAGTGTCAGAAAAACTTACCCTGGAAGAGGTAAATAGCCCAAGTAGTCCCATAGCTGTGAAAGTCATTAGGAAATTATTATTTTTTCATTATCATTTCTGGGGATTGAACTACAGCCTCATGCACTCAAGGCAAGTGTTCCATCACTGAGCTACAGCCTCCAGAATTTGAGAATTCTATCAAGTGTTAAGGTGTGCTCACTTCAAGTGGTGCATACATTAAAACTATAATACTCCAGAGAAGATCAGAATGGCTTCTCTGCAGGATGACATGAAAATTCATGAAGCATCTTCATTTTCCTCAGAAAGACAAATAGCACACATTTTCTCTTGTATGTAGGTGTGTGTGTGTGTGTGTGTGTAATGAAAGCAAAAGCTGGATTGTTATGGTGTAAGTTAATGGACCAGTGTTAGTGGCAGAAATGGTTAAAGGAGAATGAATATGATCAAACTATAATGATTTACTGTAAGAAAATATCATAATGAAATTCACAAATTTGTGAGTTTTGTTTAAATGCTTATTTTTGTGTGTGTGAGTATATTGCCTACATGTATGTCTGTGTACCATGTTCATGGAGTGTCTGTGGAGGCCAGGTGAAAACATTGGAGTCCCTGGAACAGGAGTTATAGCTGGTTGTGAGCTGCCATGTGGTTGCTGGGAATTTAACCTCTAAAATTTAATCTCCATTATTTTCTATACAAACTAAAGAATGTAATAGTTTTAAAAATTAAGTAAGGGGATGGGTAGTGGTGGCTCACGCCTTTAATCTCAGCACTTGGGAGGCAGAGGCAAGTGGATCTCTGTGAGTTCGAGGCCAGCCTGGTCTACAAGAGTTAGTTCCAGGACAGCCTCCAAAGCCACAGAAAAACCCTGTCTTGAAAAAAACAAACAAACAAAAAAGTAAGGGATAATACCAAGATTACAATTAAGTGATGTAAAAGGTTATTGTTTAAACTATATTTTATAAAGTAGAAAGCAATATTTTCCTGTATATACATACAAATTACACACACAAATATATATATATATATATATATATATATATATATATAATTTTTGGGGGGAGAGAGAGAGGTCTCACTAGGTAGATCACACCAACCTTGAATTCAGAATCTTGAACTCAATCTCCAGAATGCCAAGATCACAGGTGTGTCACTGAATCAGGCTTTAAAATTTTTTTATGTTTCACATTTATTTCTATCATTATTTTTATTATTAGTAGTAGTATTGTGTGTGTTATGTGTGGTGTGTGTACGGGATACAAGAATGTCTTGGAGTGTGTAAGGTTAGAGAACAACTTTCAGGAGTCCATGAGTTCTGGGGATCAAGCTCAGGTTATCAGGTTAGTTCAACAAAGATGTTCTTGTCCAGATCAAAGGACAACTTTCAAGAATGGGTTCTTTCTTGTTGACCCCAGGGACAGAATTCAAGTCCTTAAACACAGTGGCACATATCTTTCCCTGCCGAGCCATCATGTCAACCCTCTGACCAGCTTGCTGATGGCATTGTCACCTTCTATGGTCTCAGAGTCTTCATAGATGGGGTTACATCTTGACTCCTATGTGGCCATTTTTCCACCACACCCATGTTTAATAGAACTAATTTTACACAGAGGACAGCTATGGCCCACTGCTCTTATCAAAGGCAGATAGTTATGACTCAACCCATTCTCAGGCTGGAGGTTTATTGCTCCGGGATTAATGTACTGGTCTCAGCATTTGGCAGCTACCATCCTCTCAGCTTCCAGCAGCAGTGGATGCAACAGAGCCAGCAGCACCTTCTAGTGTCACAGCTCGTATACAGCCCTGTTTCCTCTTTTGCTTATTTATTTATTATTGGTTTTTCAAGACAAGATTTCTATTTGTTTATTGATTGATTGATTGATTGATTGATTGATTGGTTCTTTGAGACAGGGTTTCTCTTTGCAATAGCCCTGGCTTTGTAGACCAAACTGGCCTGGAACTCACAGAAATCTGCCTGCCTCTGCTTCCTGAGTGCTGGGATTAAGGCAGATTAAGGCATGGGCCACCACACCAGGCTTAATTTTACATTTAAATAGCCACTGTAACAGGGCCAAAAATCTCTTGTGGCTTTGATTTGCATTTTCCTAGAAACTAGTAATCATGAGCATTTTTTTTTCTTGGCCACCCTGTGAACTTTTTATTATTTTTTAAATTGAAGTCTACCTCCTGCCCGGATTTCACCAGTTCTAAAATTACAAATGTATGATGGCACCATACTACCGAAATCTACATGAATGGCAAGGTAAAATGAGAATTCCCCAGAGACAAGTTGGGCCTGGGAAAGCAGCTTTAGGCTCTCATCAGAAGCCTGGGGTTCAGTTTATCCTCGTTCTTGGTTGAGGACCCTAGAAAACAAGGCTTGCTTGGAATCTCAGAGCTGTAGTGCAGGAGCCAGGGCTGGACCCCTGGTTGCTTTTCTGGGAGCCTGGGCTCACATCTCTCCTTGCCATTGCCTTACCCTTCAGCATATTAAAACTATGAGATCAGGCCTGAGGTCTAAGAGGTGTGGCCCTCTAAGGGAGGGAGTGTGGCAGCATCTTGTCATATTTGTAAGTACCATCCCTTCTGGTAGGTGAGGGATTTGCCTGAGGCCACCCAGGATGGACTCCTGATTCCCCTATGATTGGTGGCCTTGATTCCCTTGCACCAAGGCCTCATCTCACCGCCTCAGGCTTCTACCACACACCCTCTACTCAAACTGGGTGTTTTGTTTTCCTAAATAGGGTGCCTCTGCAACAGGTCTCACACTCATTCGACATTTCCATCACTCATTCTCAGTCTAAACCAGATTCTACCTTCAGACTTAGCTTCAATTCCCTCTCAAGAAGTTTCTGCTGAAACCCTTCCCCCACCATCAAGCTCTCTCCACCTACTGTTTGGTCCACATTTTTTTTCTTGTGGTCAAACTGACCATTGCTTTCCTTAGCCCTAATTCTAGCCTGGATAGGAAGCTGAGAGTTTGAGGCTGCAGGAGCCAGGAGTGTTGTGCTCTTGTTTAAGTTTAAAAATATAAAAAGAGGCGCAAGACGAGACGTGAGAAATCAGAGATACATTAACCATAGTTTATTCCAGGTGGGGAGGGGGAGAGCAGGAGAGAGAGGAAGGCAAGAGAGAGAAGTGAGGAAGAGAAGAGAGAGTAGGAGGAGAGGAGATAGGGGTCCTTTTAAAGGGGTCCTTTACACCTGTGTGCAGACTTAGTTCCCATAGAACCCTGGCTGGGCTGACCAGGGTACTGCCTGAGTGGATTCTGCCAGGTAACAGGGCCAAGCCAGCATAATGCCTGAACCTTTCAAGGAGAGCTCACTCACAGCTTTGCTCGGATGCTACTATTCATTCCTAGGCAGCCATGGGTTTGAGGAGTTGGTTGTGTCAACTTTTAGAAGTTTTCCTGGGCTCTTGCTGAGTATGGGAAATGTCAAGCGACAGTGGGGGTCTGAGGAGATTACTAAGTGGGTACAGCACTTGCTAGGCAAGTGTGAGAACCAGAGTTAAGAGCCCCAGAACCCATGTCAAGTAGGCATCTGTAATACCAGTGCTCTTGTGGAGAAATGGCAGGTGGAGACAGGAGATTCACTGGAAGTTCTCTGGCCAGATATCAGAGGTTGTCCTCTGACTTCCACAAGCATGCCCACATGGGAGTGGTGGCTCAAGCCTTTAATCATTGGGAGTCAGAGGCAGGCAGATCTTTGTGAGTTCAAGGCCAGTAGTAAAAAGAGACACTGTAAGAAGGAAGAGAGACAGGTCTGCCCTTCTGGGGAGAGATGCAGGTCTGGAGATTGTAGACCTAAAACAGGGACTTCTCTTCAAAGGAAACAAGAAAATGGCCTATTCTGAGGCAGATAAGAATTCAAATGATTTCTTTTTGTTCCATTTTTCTTTTTTTGGTGTTTGGAGTCAAGATCACATGATATAACCCAGGCTAGCCTCAAACTTCAGCTCCTCTTGAAGGGACCAGCTTCCCTTTTGGCAGCCATAACGGCCGAACATGTGCTCTATGACCTTGTCTTATTCTCTAGAAAGTCATATGCCTGCCTCGTGACAAGGAACCAATCAGAAGTTAGTTAGTCACTAGAAAGTCAGATGCCTGCCTCGTGACAAGGAACCAATTAGAACTTAGCTGGTGGCGCTATGCTTTATGACCCTCGGTGTGCTTTACGGACAAGCACACAGCAATGACGCACAAAGCATAGCAACCACCCTGGGAGGGCCTATGGGCCATAACAACCAGTTGGCCAATCAACACAGGGCAAGCCCTCCAAGGCTGGAGGCACACCAATAGTGAGCCTGTGCGTACCCCTAGACACTCCCCTTATGCTGCCCTATAAGATCTCTTGGGAGGCCCTAGGAGCTGTCTTTTGCTACCTATCAGCCATGGGGGTGGACAAAAGACCCGCGCTAACATGGGGTTAGCTCGTTAAATTACAATAAATCCTCGTGCAGTTTGCATCAAGCTCTCAAATCCACCTGGTGATTGGGGTGACCGAGGTCGTGGCCTGGGACCCCGGATACCTGAGTTTTCCGGGGGTCTAACACTCTTGCCTCAGCCACCTGGATGCTTCAGTTACTTTGAATGCTATGCTCCACTGGGGAGGGAGAACTCCACAGACTCAGAACAAAGAGAAGTCATAAATCAGTCCATGCAGCAAGGCTGTAGGTAGGAGGAGGCCAGCAGGCTGCTGGTGGGTGGAGAAACCTCTCTCACGAATTTCAGATGCAATCTAGTATTCTTAGCTTTTAGGGTGGGTGGGGGCCAGAGGCCTGCTCTGGTTAGTATTCATTCTTAGCAGTTTTCCTATTAGTCACAAGAATGTTAGGCCAGGTGCAGACGTTAAGTAGCTGTTAAAGGGTCCAAGGCAGAGTGGGAGCTTAGAGGAACTTTGTTCTCTTGTTTTTTGTTTTTGTTCGTTTGTTTTTGTTTTATTTTGTTTGTTTGTTTTTGTTTCTTGAGACAGGGTTTCTCTGTGTTGCCCAGGCTGTCCTGGAACTTGCTCTGTAGACCAGGCTGGCCTCAAACTCAGAGATCTGTCTGCCTTTGCCTCTGGAATGCTGGGTTTAAAGGCATGTGCCACGGTGCCTCGGTATTTGTTCCTTTTCATGTTTGTTTAACTTTTGTTTTTTTTTGGAAACAGGGTTTCTCTGTGTAGCCCTGGCTGTCCTGGATCAGCTGGCCTCGAACTCACCTGCCTCTTACTACTGATAAATGACTGTTGTTTGGTAGATAGGGCCTGGATGAAGGATGGCATCTGGGCTTCGTTCTGCCCTGGGTCTGAGTCTGTT